ATAAAATTTTGTAAGTTACATAACTATTCAAATAAAATTGTTGAACTGGATAATAAAACATTATCAGATCAGTTGGGGCAGTATATTGTTAAAGTAAGAAAATCAAATGGTCAAGAATATAAGGCAACATCACTCTATACTGAATTTTGTGCTATAGCATGAGGAATATCTGATATGTTTGAAGAAATATGAATTGTAAACTTGTTTGATAAATATTAATTTAAAAGTTTGTATAGAACACTAGATGGTCATATGAAATCACTTGCTAATAATAGTAATAAAAATTATAAACAATTTAGTCTACTAGAAATTGATGAAATTAGGTTTATACTAAATTCACTTGCTATAACTGTTGAAAATCCAAAAGGTCTTATGCAAAAAATTTGGATCTGGCTAATTTTATTATGTTGTTTAAGAGGTGGAGATGCAAAAAGATTAAAAGCATCTTGGCTTAAAGAACTAGATAATAGTGGTATGTTGCTTGAACTGCCTAAAGAAAAAAACTATGCAAAAGGAATTAAAGATCTATATGCGGAATTTGGAAGTAGTTTAATACTATTAGATATCTTAGGAAATATTTGTTATTATTTAAAAAGACACATGGAATATTAGATTTGTAACTAATGATATAGATATGAGTATGTTGTATATGAGCTTTAATAGCTACAGTATTGGATTTAAGATTTGTAATAGTAGAGGAAGTAGCTTTAGATAAGCTATTATAATTGAAAGAAAATAGTAAAATTTTAATAACAAATAACTGAAGAATAGTATCTTTGATTTTCTTAAGTTAGTTTAGAATTATATTCATAGGAGTAACAAAGCAAGAAATTGAAGAAGGAGATGTCATAGATCTTAAAGAAAGTTAGTAATAAAGAAAGGTAAATAGGGTATGATATATTTTATAAAGACATATAATATAGAAAGTTAATAAAATGCTTTAAAATAATGGATTATGTTTCTCTTGTAACATTCAGTTGAATGAACAGCAAATTGGATAGGTTTAATTTGTTGTAAATTACTTTTTTTAGCCATAGTGCCAAAATGGTCATCATACTTAGCTAAAAAATAATCTAAATTATATTGATCTGGTTCTTAATTAATAGATATAAACATAATTGTTTTAGATTTTAATATAAATTTAATATAAGGATTCTTGAATTAAAATAGATTTGAATAATATAGGAATATGACAAATAAGAGATGTAATAGATAAGAGAATATGACAAATAAGAGATATAATAGATAAAAGAATATGACAAATAAGAGATATAACAGATAAGATAAAATGATATATAAGAGGAGGTGACAAATAGAAAAGTGTTACAAGTAATACATAACACTTTGTAGATCTATCTATAAATTAGGAGTAAAATTGAACAAATTTGTATAAATTTAAAAAGAATACAAATTTGTAATTGAGTTATGTTAAAAATAGATTGTGCAATAAAGTTAAAGACATAGCCTTATTATTAATA